TGTGTTATTTGCAGGATTACCAAGTAAAAATAAACAGAGAAAAAGCTGAAAAAATAAATCATGAAACTACATCAAAGACGGATAAGCTGCAATATATTACATTTTGCTTTTAGTTTTAAAGAGGATTCACCATACATACAGATATGGGAAATCAGAACTATGTGAGTTGTACAGGGACTTAATGATTAGCAAATCTGCCTTGCAGCGCTGTGGTCCCTGGTTCTAATTCCAGTAAGGATGCTAGCTGCATTGCGTTTGCATGTTCTCCCTGTGCTTGGCTCTTATATGTTTGAGAGCATGTAAGATGTAGATTGTAAGCTCTTTGAGAGGGACTGATGTGAGGTCTGTGCTGCATAAAATGTCAGCACCTGTAGCAAGTACATATTAATAAAATAAGTTATTATATGTTAATAATTATAAAGTGGACATCATTTGAGCAAGCTCTCTTAAAATGCTGGTAATGTCAGTACATTATTTCACTTCACTTGTGGCCTCCAAAAAAGGTATTATATAAAAAAGTGTAACTCTACTTACGCGGGAATAAAAAGACAAAAAATAATAATATAGCATATAAAATTGCAACACAAATCATATTGCAACAGAATGTTTTTGAAAAATTACCTTTTTTCATTCTGCAGTGCTGTAATTTTCTGAAAAATGCAATATAACAGCCTGGAGGCCTTCTGTACACAGATGGTGTACAGAACGCAACCCAGAAAAGTAATTTCCTACTCTGTGATTGGCTTACTGATTTTCCCAGAAATCTGCACTAAGATGCAGGTCAGATTTTTGGGCATGCCCTGCAACAAAAATTTAATTTTTGGCAAGAAACACCCAAAAGGGAAATCACGTCTAAAGGGAAGCAGACCCTGTTACTTTCTTCATTAGAACCCAGCAAGTGCAGCAGCGAATTGATAATTATAAAATCACTCAAATACACATTCATTTTGCACATGGACATAAACAAACAGCTATTGCTTCAGAATAATTAAAAGGTGGGAATCTCCACAAACGTTTGTTAAAATTCTTGCAATGTACATACATTCACTGGCCACTTTATTAGGTACACCTTGTTAGTACTGGGTTGGACCCCCTTTTATCATCAGAACTCCTTTAATTCTTTGTGGCATAGATTCAGCAAGGTGTTGGAAACATTCCTCAGAGATTTTGGTCCATATTGACAAGAGTTACTGCTGCCTTTCTATCATCTCGAACCAGTCTGGCCATTCTCCTCTGACCTTTGACATCAACAAGGCATTTTCGTCCACACAACTGCCGTTCACTGGATATTTTCTCTTTTTTGGACCATTCTCTAAACCCTAGAGATGGCTGTGTGTGAAAATCCCAGGAGATCAGCAGTTTTTGAAATACTCAGACCAGCCCAACTGGCACCAACAACCATGCCACGCTCAAAAGCACTTAAATCCCCTTTCTTCCCCATTCTCATGCTCGGTTTGAACTTCAGCAAGTCGTCTTCACCACATCTAGATGCCTAAATGCAATGAGCTGCTGCCATGTGATTGACGGATTAGCAATCTGTGTTACCAAGCAATTGAACAGGAGTATCTAATAATAAAGTGACCGGTGAGCGTAGATCATCCAAAGGAGAATTTTTTTCCTCAACAAAAGTGGAGTTACTTTTTCAAGGCAAAATTCCATACACTATTTTTTTTTTTTTTTTTTTTTAAACTGCAACATAAATAGTTTTAAAAAGAAAAAAACACTTTTTAATCAAAAAGAACGATCAACTAAATCCAGTATTTTAAGTATTATCAACTTACCTTGCAGCATCATTAGTGAAGCCCAAACCTAATCCCTCTTTATTTTCAACATTTTCTTGTTTTTTTGCTGGTAGAATCAATGACTTCTTTCTACAAAATGAATAAAACAAGCAATGTGCAAAATGAGCCAGAGGTCAGAATGAAACTTTGACTGTTCACCCTTCAGTACAGTGAATTACATTTGGTTTTCACAGGGAAATAAATGCAATTGAAATGTACCTATACCTTGCACATTTAACACAACATATATACTGTACAGCAGAGGCTATCCATAAAGCAGGCTCTACTTAGTTTTCCCACCCTACTCCACCGCCAAAAAGTCTGGAGTTGCACATGGCTATACATATTTGGAAGGGAAAATTACAGGATCAATGTAAGAATTAGCATTTGAGGGAAAAAAAAACTCCTTATTGAATAAGGCCATGGGTAAAATATTCAAGAAACATATCAACACTTGTCATCTACCTTTTCTGAAGCGAAAGCTCTGGACTCTTTTCTCACAGAAGCTCGTCCCAGGTTGGGCTTTGGTTTCTGAAGTCTGTTTCGAAGAGGTTTTACAGAGGCTCTTTCACTTGCTCTACAGTACATGAAGGTTGCTCCAGCCTAAACAAAAATATTAAAAAAATGAGATGGAATACTAGTAGACCAATTTGAGAGATTATATTTTAGTTAATGCAGCCTAGTTAGAGGAATAACAAAATGTTTGAATGAAAATAAAGATAGCCAAAAATGTGGGGCCTATTTATAATGTGCTCCATTTATAATGTGCTCCATTTCTGCTCATTTTTTACATTTTTTTTTCAATAAAGTCTTAACCCATATCATAATGAAAGAAACAGTTCCCACTTTTATTTTGCATGAGCTTGCAAAATGACAATTTTGGATTATTCAAAGTAGGCCATCTCTGGAATGGTTTCTCTGCACTCTTCTGCATTTTTGGTGTACTTTGTGCAAGTATGACCCAAGTATAAAATGGTGAACTCACTGCGGTTTAAAAAGGTGAACAAAAATTGTAGTTTCAGGCAACATAACAGTGTATTTGGTGACTTAGCATGACACCAAGAGCAGAAGGGGCTTGCAGAAAGTATTTTTTTTTTTTACAGTAAAACTCCAAGATTGGGAGTTCAGTATGATGCTGTAGGGAGCCAATCAAAAACCTCCAGGGCAAGACCAGTAACACTGAGCAGTGTAAAATACAGTAATCTGTCTTTAACCTCCTTGGCGGTATGATCCTTTCCGATTTTTTGTGCTGAAAGCGGTACCATTTTTTTTTGCATGGAAATATGTAGTTTTTTATTGTAGGCTGTAATTTTTAGGAATAACTCACTGAAATCTGTACGAACAAGAGTCTAGTAAACATTCCGGATATGATAAAACTTGAAACACGAAATCATAAATTATAATTTAATAAATAATCATAAAAAAATAATAATATAATAATGATAAATTTAATTCAATAATATAATCAAACCAAAAACACTGAAATTTTAAATACAGAGGCAAATTCGCACATTGCTATGCAAAGTCGCAAAATCATTTTCAGTGTCTGATGACGAATTTCCCCACGAATCATTATCACTCAATTCTGCAAGTGGTTCTGATTTACTATCGCTGTTCTAAAACCGCTTTTGACGTAAAGGGACGCTTTTTGGACGCCATGGACTTTTCTAAGTTTCCAGGCAGAAAGAACAGTCAAAATGCAGGCAGGGCACAGGACAAAGCAGTAGGGACAAAATATATGTGAAATGCATTGAAACAGCAATGACAGCAAAAATGACATTTTGTAAAAATTTCAAATTTCCCGCCGGCGCCCGTACGTCCCGACGTCACAGGGACCGGAACACAGAAGCCGGATGCCAGCATCAGCCGGAGGAGATGGCCGGGGACGCTGCAGGGGACACATCGCGGGAGCGAAGGACAAGGTAAGTGCTGCAGGTACCCCCTAAGCAACGCCGCATGGTAAGCCCGAGTGTAGCTTGGGGTTACCGCTCTTGGTACTCAAATTTTACCCCGAGCTACACTCGGGATAACCGCTAAGGAGGTTAAGGTAACACTAAAAATTAGAAGATTGTCCAACATCCTAGGAAACCCCTCACAGGTCTGATTTGTAGGTAAGTGTCCATCCCCCTAGACATAATACTTATAACGCTGAAGTGTTCCTTACTAAGGGTTTGAAGCAAACATGAAACTTTTTTGTACCTTACATGTTAAGTGGCATGCTGAGGTTCTGTTCTGTGCAGAAAACAGCAAACATGCCTCAGCATTATTTTGACAGCACACCATAGCACAGGGCTGAATCCAGAGAATTCTTGATGTGTCATTTTGCTGTCTGCCACGTTTCCAAAGTTGTCTACTCTCTGGTCACAAGTTCAGGCTTTTCTGAGGCTCCAAAGATGTTCCATTCTGTCATCACTTCTGTGCATGTTTGCCAGTTTGGTGTATGCACTTTTTAAGCACTAAGCCGCTTTTGAGTATTAACTATAGGAATCGCTACAGTTCAGCATTTTTAAAGTACATATATACAAAATATAAAAACCAAGATATTGTTAAGTTGGACCTTCTTAACCACTTGCCTACCGGACACTTATACCCCCTTCGTGCCCAGGCCAATTTTCAGCTTTCAGTACTGTCGCATTTTGAATGACAATTGCGCAGTCATGCAACACTGTACCCACATTAAATTTTTATATTTTTTTTCACACAAATAGAGATTTCTTTTGGTAGTTTTTAATCGCCACTGGCAGTTTTATTTTTTCAACTATAAACAAAAAGAAAAAATAGCAAAAAATTTGAAAAAAAAAAATTTTTTTTCTTTATTTCTGTTATAAACTTTTCCCCTTTACTGATGTGTCTTGATGAGGCTGCACTGATAGGCAGCACTGATGGGCACTGATTATGTGGCACAGATATCCAGTACTGATGGGCACCAATAGGCTGCACTGATGAGGCGGCACTGGTAGGCATCGATAAGGAGGCACCGATATGCAGCAATGATGGTCACTGATAGATGGCACTGCAGAGCACTGATCATCAGTGCCAATCGGTTATGTGACAACTGCCAGTTATCAGCAGTACTTTTCTCACGCTACGACAGCGTGAGGAGAGTGCTGCCGATAATCGGCAACTACCGTATTTTTCGCTCCATAAGACGCACCTGACCATAAGACGCACCTAGGTTTTAGAGGCAGAACACAGGAAAAAAAAAATTCTGAACTAATGGACTGCAGACATAGTACAGGAGATGACCAGAGACTGCGGACAGTACAGGAGATGACCCGAGACTGCGGACACAGCACAGGAGATGACCAGAGACTGCGGACACAGCACAGTACCAGAGACTGCGGACACAGCACAGGAGATGACCAGAGACTGCGGACACAGTACAGGAGATGACCAGAGACTGCGGACACAGTACAGGAGATGACCAGAGACTGCGGACACAGTACAGGAGATGACCAGAGACTGCGGACACAGTACAGGAGATGACCAGAGACTGCGGACACAGTACAGGAGATGACCAGAGACTGCGGACACAGTACAGGAGATGACCAGAGACTGCGGACACAGTACAGGAGATGACCAGAGACTGCGGACACAGTACAGGAGATGACCAGAGACTGCGGACACAGTACAGGAGATGACCAGAGACTGCGGACACAGTACAGGAGATGACCAGAGACTGCGGACACAGTACAGGAGATGACCAGAGACTGCGGACACAGTACAGGAGATGACCAGAGACTGCGGACACAGTACAGGAGATGACCAGAGACTGCGGACACAGTACAGGAGATGACCAGAGACTGCGGACACAGTACAGGAGATGACCAGAGACTGCGGACACAGTACAGGAGATGACCAGAGACTGCGGACACACAGGAGATGACCAGAGACTGCGGATGCACAGGGATGACCAGAGACTGTGGACAGTACAGGAGATGACTGCTGACCTTTGGGGAGGGGGGGGAGCGGGTACTTGAATTTGACAGGTACCCGCTCTTACTTCCGCGGAGCTGTTCTTTGATCTTACCTGTTCCTCTATCCAGCTGCGCGCTGTCTACCCAGCTTCTGTAGTGTGGGACGCTCGGCGGACAGCCGGATGCCCAGTGCGCATGCGCGAGAAGCGGTGCGCTTTGCGATTGGTCCGGCGGCTTCTGGATTCTGTCATGTGTCCCAGGTACCGCCTTACCATTCACAAAGAGCACCACTTCTTGCGCATGCGCACTTGGGACCCGGCTGTCACGCACACTACAGAAGCCGGGAAGATAGCGCGCCGCTGGATAGAGGAACAGGTAAGGTGCCACTGCAGAGCTGAGCGGCCGGCCTGGTATTCTAACACGGCGGCGGTGGAAATACCGGACCGGCCACTCCATATTCGCTCCATAAGACGCACTGTCATTTTCCCCCCTTTTTTTGGGGGAAAAAAAAAGTGCGTCTTATGGAGCGAAAAATACGGTATATTTACTCCGTGATCTGCTGTGTCATTGGACACAGCTGATCACGTGGTAAAAGGCCGCTGTGATTGGTCTTTTACCTCATCACGTAATCAGCGTATTAAATCTTGTTCTGGGAAAGAAGACTCCAGGTAGAAAATGCTCGCTGGGGTTCTTCCAGCATATTTCCAGATCTCAGGGTTTGGTGTAATGTTGGCAGGGAATGTTGTAGGGAAGACTAGCCCAGAAGGGTCAATTAGAAAACCGCTAAAGAAGTCTTCATCCAAAGCTACAGAAGACAATTAAAGGGAAACAAAACTAAATAAGGAAATTGTACAACAGAGGGTCTACATGCTTGGCCTCCTAGGATTCTACACTAAAACTATGGCTTAGTTCTGTCCAGTGCATACGTTTTCCCTAGTGCATATCAAGCTGAAGCTGTGTGTATTACAATTTGGAATTATAGAAATGTAAATAATGAGGTGTGTAAGCCAAGGGCTACAGTTTAACAAGCTGTTGATTGAATTGGTATTTCTACTTTTTACTAGAAACAATTCCTAAGAGTGTATCTTCCTGCACCACAGTAAATTGGAAAAGAGTGGAGTTCTAACATCTCGCTGCCATAAGCAGTTTTTGTGGGGTTTTTTTCTGCACGCATTTAAAAAAATTATTTTAGGCCTGAAGATTAGTTAAAACCCCCACACATTATATATTTTTTTAAAACCAGACAATCTGGAGAATGAAATAGTGATAGTTCCAATTTTTTTATATCACACAATATAAATAAATACAATAAAGATCATTTTAGGGCACACAAATGCACAATATGATCCTATTTTTTGTTAAAATATAAAAGATGAAGTTACGCTGAGAGTACATAGATACGCACATGTCAAGCTTTAAAATTGTGTGCACCTGAAAAAGCATGACGAACTTCGGTACCCTATATTTTCCTTAGGCGATGCTTTAAAGTCCCTACAGGTTATCATTTATGAATTAACTGTGAATATTTGTCCTGGTTTTATTGCTCTCAGTCCAGAGTGCACAACAATATACAACATGGGTACTGCAAGCGATGTTTCTTAGTTTTCAACATTTTTTTTCACAAATACTTTTATTTATATCACAAAAGGGACAAAAAGTCCACTATGTGACAAACTCTTTGTGACAGGTCTAATTTAATGAGACATCAGGGGTCTTTTAGACCCCTGCTATCCCACCTGCTTTTTACTGAAGCTAATCTACTGCGTTCTATTAGCGAAACAGAAACTGGAAGTGATGTCATACATGCGGCTTCTAGGTTCTTTGAATCTATGGGAGATCAGCAATGGATGTTCGCTGGTCTCCCTCCGTTCCACCCAGCAACAAATGTCATGCTTGGCAGCTCAGTGCACACTGTAAAGATAACTGCAAACAGACAGGCACATTTGTTTTAACACACAGTATGTCTCTTCTACAATAGCCTGCCTGCTTACAGTTTTTTGTACCTTTAATTTAATCCACTTTAGGATTCCACAAAAATGCCAAAAGCATGCAAAATCCTGTGACTTGCAAAACTTGAAAACAATTTAGATTTGTTGTTAGGTAGGTGCTGTCAAGAAAGCCAGCCAGCAATACTGGATACTTTTGCACAGAATTCCCATAGAGAGCGTTTATAGTCCACAAGTCATTTGCAAAGTAAAATAAGCAACACAGGTATGAACATACGTGACATGAGAGGAATTATCCATAGACACAGCAGACTCCTGACTGTCCATCTGATCCACAGCAGGTAGAACAATGGTCTCCAGTGGAAGGATAAATGACTGAGTGATCTCTTCTGGGGAGGCAGTGTCTTCTGTATCAGTATTTGCAAGTACAGGGTTTTCTCCTGCATTGTATTGTGACAACTGTAACACAAAATAAAACAGAGAAACATTTAACTTGGGTTGAAATTTTCCCACATATACTTTTCGAAAAAAGGAACTTTCATGCTGTTTCTTGTATTTTAGATCTCTGCGTAACCAAAGTTATCTTTTTTTTTGGATAGCATAAGGAAGGGTTAACGGTATTAAAACCAAAAGAAAACATTATGTTACAGCCTACCAAGTGTTAGATGCAAGCACTGCATTTGCTTTCTTTTTTAGCCTCTTTTCCCTTATTTCCACCTGGTGATATGGCCAGTAAGTCCATTTTTCAATAGACTAAGCTGCCCTGCAGCTGTAATAGAGGGATGAGACAAACTATTTACTACTGAGAGGGGTGCTTACAATGATCAGCTTTTATATATTTATATGAAAGCTTTGTCCAAAAAGGAAAACTTTTTTGCTGTAACCGATTTAGAAATGTTAGCTGGAGTTTTGCTTACTTTTGTTAGTGTATTTAAATCTGCTAGTACACCTAGCATTCCCCTCCTACTAATTTAATCAATGCTGCTGTCCAAAGGTGCCACTGTGCTCCTTCATTGAGAATGGGGGCACTCTGATATGGGTGTGTTACTGGCCAGATCACCAGGAAAAAAATGCCTAAAAAAGGATAAGTAATTCAGCCACCACATGTAATGATTGGTAAGCTGAAATAGATGACATTTTAGGTAATGGGCTTAATACGGCTTTAAAGTCGCACTTTGTTTTGCTGTCAGTGTGCGGTTTGATATATCTCCCTTTACTTTCTGAAAACAGGGAATGAAAATAAGCCTTTCCAAAGGGAGTGGACTTTCCAGTCTTATGCAGTTGCCATTTGAACAGGTGTTCCCACTAGAGGATTTCACCCTCCTGCTGTGTAAAGTTGTAAAACTGTAAATTTTGAACTTCCCATTACTTTTAGTCTAGCTGACAATGGTCACCAGGACAAATTAACAGGGTGAATGTATCCATCAGTGACACAGACAGCAATCATCTCTTTTTAGGCAGACTGACTCTCGCCTAGGACTAACCTTCCTCATTTTAAAAGCCATGTAAAGCTAGACTCAAGCAAAGAATAAAAAAGTTACAGTAAATCAAAAAACAGATGTAGAGGCACATTAAGCATTTGCTCTCTTACATTTTCCATACGTGAAGTATTGATATCACCTTTTCTTCTTTTCCCTTCTTCATTACCATCACACTTCTGAGAAGCAGATACTGTGGTACGCGTAACTGAACTGCCCAAATTTGGCTTTGGTCTCACCAATCTACTCCGTGTCAAAGTTGATTTGCTTTGCGCTGCACTTTTCTCATCTTCAGAGCCACTTAATTCCTTTTTCATAAAAAAAAAAAAAAAAAAAAAAAAAAAATTACAAATTTCCATATAGAATTCTGAGGTGTTCAAAATTCAAATGAATGGCACAAAAGCCACCAGCTACAGATCAAAAGGCAATATAGCATATGTTTTTTTTTCCCATTCAACCCAGTGGGCTGAACAAAAAATGGCATTGCCATACTAACACAAGCAATGTTAATGTGGCGATCTCTTCCACTGTACCTTTGAGTTCTGCCGGGGGAACTGCCTCCCTGCCCCAAGCCCCCCCGCCCTCCCCACCAGGGTTGCCAACCATCAGTAAATTCATGGGCAATTTGAAAAAATCTGTGATTTTTACATCTGTCCATGAATGTCCGTTACGGACATGAAGTCTGCAAATCACAGATTTTAGTACTGTACCTGTAGGTGGTACTACCTTCTCAGTATGAACATGTTACTACTGTCTACCTAGAAGTTTTCTGCCACAAAACAGTGTCGTTTTTCAAAGGGTATTTTGGCCCTTAGACTTTAGTTCTATCATGTCAATGTAGTGTTTAATGGTGCATTTTATTGCTAGTTAACTTTGCACTCCTGTCTGTATGCATTTTGTTGCTAGCGCACTTTGCAGTCTAGTCTGTATGCATTGTGCATGTCTCTGCCACTGTTTTTACATTGTGATGACATGTCATACTACCGTATATTGTGTACTTCTAAAAAAAAAAAAAAAAAAAAAAAAAAAAAAAATCATGCATTTTACAAACTGTAAAACTGTTTTAAAGTCTGTGCCACCACCAATCAAAATCTGGTTGGATGCTGGTTTTACAGCATGCCCATTCAACAGAAGCTGTTTTTGGATGATTTTCAGCCTGCGTGTACCCAGCTTTAACCACTTGCCTACCAGGCACTTATACCCCCTTATTTACCAGGCCAATTTTCAACTTTCAGCGCTGCCGCACTTTGATTGACAATTGCACGGTCACTGATAGGCGACACTGATAGGTACTGATAGACGGCACTGACTGGCATCACTGCTGGGCACTGACTGGCGGCACTGACTGGCACAACCCCTGGGCACTGACTGGCAGCAGCACTGCTGG